GTAGTCGTGTGGTGTAGGCATGTTGTGTAGTCGTTTGGTGTAGTCGTGTGTTGCAGGCATGTGGTGTAGTCGTGTTGTGTAGTTGTGTGGTGTAGGCATGTTGTGTAGTCTTGTGGTGTAGTCGCGTGGTGTAGTCATGTGGTGTAGTCGTGTGTTGTAGTCGCGTGGTGTAGGCATGTGGTGTAGTCGTGCGGTGTAGTCGCGTGGTGTAGGCATGTGGTGTAGTCAAGAATGAGATAAAGGTGATACAATGTCAAGGAATAGATCAAGATAATACAATATCAAGGAATAGATCTAGATAATACAATGTCAAGGAATAGATCAATATGAATCAATGTCAAGAATAAGATCAAGATGATACAATGTCAAGGAATATATCAAGATATTAACCTTAATATTATTTTAATCTTAAAACTTTTTTATGGAAAATTAAGATTTAATGTTGTTTGTTTACCTAATTTCTATGTTACTGGTTATTTTTAAAAAACCTAAGATATATTATACTGTTGTTTGTTTGCCTAAGCTCCATGTTACTGTTGTTTGTTTACCTAAGCACCATGTAACTATTGTTTGTTTACTTAAGTACCATGTAATGTGTTGTTTGTTTACCTAAGCTCCATGTAACTGTTGTGTAACAGACCATGTTTTCACAAGAAACCAGAGAGGGAGCATGAGTGAACAGTGAACTGTGTTGACCATATTTAAACTCTCACTCATTTTCCTTCTGCCACATTTCTATTGCTGCCCACAGATACTACTTATCAGCTAAGTGCTATTTCTAATTTTTTTTTATACCGTTTTTTCTGTTGTTTTGTTCGCTGACGAAGGCTTTCTGCCGACACGTTCGCTGTTTTGTTGCGTTTATTTTTTCAGCTTTAACCCTACTCTGTTTTACTCATTTTATTTTGTACTAACCTGATTGCAGTCTCTCCCCTTATTACCTCTATGTTTCAAGAGACTAATATTGCTATGTTTCAACAGACTCACATTACTATGTTTCAAGAGACTAACCTTGCTATGTTTCAAGAGAATAATATTGCTATGTTTCAAGAGACTAACATTACCATGTTTATAGAGACTAACCTTACTATGTTTCAATAGAATAACATTGCTATGTTTAAACAGACTAACATTACTATGTTTCAACAGACTACATTACTATGTTTCAAGAGACTAACATTACTATGTTAAAAAAGACTACAATTACTATGTTTCAAGAGACTAACATTGCTATGTTACAAAAACTAACATTACTATGTTTCAATAGCCTAACATTATTATGTTTCAAGAGACTAACATTAGTATGTTTCAAGAGACTAACATTGCTATATTTCAAGAGACTAATATTGCAATTTTTCAAGAGACTAAAATTGCTATGTTTCAAGACACTAACATCACTATGTTTCAACAGACTAATTTTACTATGTTTCAAGAGACTGTTATTGCTATGTTTCAAAAGAATAACTTTACTATGTTTCAAGAGACTAACATTAGTATGTTTCAAGAGACTAATATTGCTATAGCTGCTGATAGAGGTGATGCAAAGTCAATGTACGAGAATATAAAGCAAGCAACAGGCCCTCTGATCTCCAAGACTGCGCGCTTAATGTCCAAATCATGGGAAATTTTAACTGATCGAGTTAAACAAGTTAAGCGGTGGATACAGCAGTACTTGGAAATATACGCAACGATAAACCAAGTCTCAACCGCTGCCCTTGACGGTATCCAAGACTTGCCGGTCATGGAGGAGCTTGATACCCTACCCACAATAGAAGAGCTATGTAGAGCCATCGATTGTCTCGCCAGTGGGAAAGCCCGGGGCAATGATGGTATCCCACCAGAAGCTCTCAAATGTGGAAAAGGAATACTATTACGGCCCTTGCACCATCTCCTTACTCTGTGCTGGGAACATGGACAGCTACAAGAGTTGAAAGATGCAAACATCGTAACATTGTACAAAAATAAAGGAGACAAGCGTGACTGCACCAACAATCGGGGAATCTCCCTCCTCAGCATAGTTGGAAAGGGTTTCGCCCGAGTTGCATAACACGCCTACAGATACTAGCATCAGGTGTCCTCCCAGAATCGCAATGTGGTTTTCGCGCCGGTAGGTCAACCCTAGACATGATCTTCTCTTTGCACCAGCTGCAGGAGAAGTGCAGGGAGCAACATATGCCTTTATACATTGCGTTTGTCCACCTCACTAAGGCTTTTGATCTTGTCAGCAGAAGCGGCCTGTTTCAGATCTTCAAAAAGATAGGCTGCCCAACACGACTGCTTAACATCATCAAGCAGTTCCACGAAAACATGTAAGGCACAGTGTGCTATATCGGTCCCACCTCAGAAGCTTTTCCAGTGAGTAGTGGAGTAAAGCAAGGTTGCGTGCTGGCTCCTACTTTAATTTCAATCTTTTTCTCCATCCTACTCCAGTATGCCTTTCAGAACAACAGCGAGGGGATATACATCCACAAAAGAGATGAGGGCAAATTATTCAACATTGCCCGCCTTAGAGCTAAGACTAAAACAAGAAAGGTCTTTCTGCGAGACTTTTTGTTTGCGGACGATGCCGCTTTGGTATCTCACAAAGCTTACGGCCTGCAGAGCCTCGTATCCAGCCTATCCGCTGCCTGCAAAGAGTTTGGCCTGACAATTAGCCTAAAGAAAACTAACATTATGGCACAGGGCGCTGACTCCCTCCCAACTATCGCCATCGACGACTACGACTTGGATACTGTTGACAGATTCACATATATGGGATCCAACATATCGAGCACCCTCTCAATGGAGGATAAGATAAGTGGCAGGATGGGGAAGGCCGCAACTGTTATCGTCAGACTGAAGAAAAGAGTCTGGTCAAACGCCAAACTCACAACAAGAACTAAGCTGCATGTGTACCAGGCCTGCATACTGAGCACAATCATGTATGGATGCGAGTCGTGGACCACATAATCTAAACACGAAAGAAGGCTCAACGTTATTCTCTTGAAACGTAGTAAATTAGTCTGTTGAAACAGCAATATTATTCTTTTGAAACAGTAATGTTAGTCAGTTGACCACAGCTGGGATCTGTTGAACAGACTATCATTGCTATGTTTCAACAGACTAACATTGCTATGTTTCAACAGACTAACATTACTAAGTTTCAAGAGCAAACATTGCTATGTTTCAAGTGACAAATATTGCTATGTTTCAAGAGACTAACATTGCTATGTTTCAACAGACTAACATTGCTATGTTTTAAGAGACTAACATTATTATGTTTCAACAGACTAACATTGCTATGTTTCAAGAGGCTAACATTTCTGTGTTTCAACAGACTAACATTGCTATGTTTCAACAGACTAACATTACTATGTTTCAACAGACTAATATTGCAATGTTTGAAGAAACTAAGATTTCTATTTTTCAACAGACTAACATTACTATGTTTGAAGAGACTAACATTGCTATGTTTGAAGATACTAAGATTGCTATTTTTCAACAGACTAACATTACTATGTTTCAAGAAACTAATATTGCTACATTTTAAAAGACTAATATTACTATGTTTCAAGAGACTAAAATTACTGTTTCAAGAGACTAACATTACTATGTTTCAACAGACTAATATTACTATGTTTCAAGAGGTTAACATTTCTATGTTTCAACAGACTAACATTGCTATGTTGGAAGAAACTAAGATTGCTATTTTTCAACAGACTAACATTACTATGTTTCAAGAGACTATCATTGCTATGTTTGAAGGGACTAAGATTGCTATTTTTCAACAGACTAACATTACTATGTTTCAAAAGACTAATATTGCTACGTTTCAACAGACTAACATGGTTTTTTTTTCAACAGACTAACACTACAATGTCTAATTAGACTAACACTGCTGAGTTTTAAAAGACTAACATTGCTGTGTGCAACAAACTAACATTACTATGTCTCAAGAGACTAACATCACTATGATTTTACAGACTAATATTGCTATGCTTAAAGAGACTAACATTGCTATGTTTATAGAGACTAACTTTGCTATGTTTCAAGTTACTAATATTGCTATGTTTAAACAGACTAACATTACTATGTTTCAAGAGACTAACATTGCTATATATCTACAGACTACATTTACTATGTTTCAATAGACTGACATTGCAAAGTTTCAACAGACGAACATTGCCATGTTTCAACAGACTAACATTACTATGTTTCAACATTTTAACATTAATATGTTTCAAGAGACTAACATTGCTCTGTTTAAAAATACTAACATTACATTGTTTCAAGAGACTAACATTACTATATTTCAACAGACTAACATTGCTATGTTTCAACAGACTAACATTAATATGTTTCAACAGGCTAACATTACTATGTCTCCACAGAATAACATTGCAATGTTTTAAAAGACTAACAGTACTATGTTTCAACAGACTAACATTGCAATGTTTCAAAAGACTAACATTTCTGCGTTTTAACAGATTAACATTGCTATGTTTCAAGACAGAAAATTTGATGGATTTAATTTCTTTTAAATTGCATCTTTTTTTAACGTGCACACATTTGATTGTAGCAACACATCGTATGTTAATCCTTGTTTCTGATATCTTTAAATGTTCATTTCAAAAAACAGATCTTAAACTTTTAAAAATAAAGAAAGGCAAACGTAAAAAAAAAATAATAAAATGTTAGCAGTGCAGAATAAGTGTTTTGTTCAATATAAGCTTAAAGCCAAATATAGACTTTAAGACACCAAAGACAGACTCTAATGTAACATTAAATATAGACTATAAGACACAAAATGTAGAATTTAATGCAACATCTAATATAGACATTAATGTAACACCAAATATTAATTTTAATGCAGCAACACATTTAGACTTTATTGCAACACCAAATATATACTTTAATGTAGCACCAAATATATACTTTAATGTAACACCAAATATTAATTTTAATGCAGCAACACATTTAGACTTTATTGCAACACCAAGTATATACTTTAATGTAGCACCAAATATATACTTTAATGCAACACCAAAGTTGCGTATTGCTTCTCGCACAAAAACATTAAAGGACTTTTACGGTTATCGCAAGGTCCGTTGAATGCACCTGAATGACCATGGGCGAAATACAAGCAATTCCTTCCATTAACTCTGTCCGGTTGTCCCGCGGCCCAGTCGATGTACTTCAAGCGCTTGCCAGTTCTGTGTGAAACATACACGCCCCTGTCCGGCATGCTCGTCCCAGACACAATGAACCCCACTTTACGTCTCTTGATTATTTCTACTATGATCAACTCTTTGCTCTTACTGTCAACTTCCGCCAGATAGGAGCAGATGGACAAACAGCTGTGTGTGGCCTCCATGTCGCTGGTGAAGACGTCTCTAGAGAGAAAGTATCGGATGCCAAAATGTTCATAAGGGGGATAAAACTGTTGGAGACTCAGCTTGTTTGGTAGGCATTCCGCTAGAAGGAGGAGATCAAACATAGACGATTGAAATGATTAGTCCCTTATGAGAACATTGCTACCATCAACTGACGGGATTGGTACAACGTAAGTTACCATCAACTGACTGGACTGGTGCAACATTAGCTGCCATCAAGTAACTGGATTGGTACAACATTACCTACTATCAACTGACGGGATTGGTACAACGTAAGTTACCATCAACTGACTGGACTGGTACAACATTAGCTGCCATCAAGTAACTGGATTGGTACAACATTACCTACTATCAACTGACGGGATTGGTACAACGTAAGTTACCATCAACTGACTGGATTGGTGCAACATTAGCTGCCATCAAGTAACTGGATTGGTACAACATTACCTACTATCAACTGACGGGATTGGTACAACGTAAGTTACCATCAACTGACTGGACTGGTGCAACATTAGCTGCCATCAAGTAACTGGATTGGTACAACATTACCTACTATCAACTGACGGGATTGGTACAACGTAAGTTACCATCAACTGACTGGACTGGTGCAACATTACCTACCATCAACTGACGGGATTGGTACAACGTAAGTTACCATCAACTGACTGGATTGGTGCAACATTAGCTGCCATCAAGTAACTGGATTGGTACAACATTACCTACTATCAACTGACGGGATTGGTACAACGTAAGTTACCATCAACTGACTGGACTGGTGCAACATTAGCAGCCATCAAGTAACTGGATTGGTACAACATTACCTACTATCAACTGACGGGATTGGTACAACATTACCTACTATCAACTGACTGTACTATTATCCGAAACTGATAATCGGAAAACGTATTATTGTTTAATCACTGTTTTCTTAACAACAAAAGACAATTGATTAACAATGTGCAGAGCGAGGTGAGAAGTGCTATAAATAACGTTAAACCAAATGCTTAACAATGATTTGAATAACGTACTTATCAATGCGGCTAAACAATGTGCCAGTGTGGTGGGGGGGGGGTTAATGCCAGTGGCCATTGACCAGAGGCGTAGCTAAGGGATGGCACATATGAGACATACGTCCCCGGCACCAGACAAGCTGGGGCGCTAAAATGGCCTTGATGGTATTCAATGGTTGAAATTAATGGGTTTTAGAGTCAAAAATGGGGAGGCGAGTAAAAACGATTTTGTCCCATGACACCAAACACTCTATCTACGCCCCTGACAGTGGCGTAGAAAGGGGTGAACGCGGTGGACTAGCAAGTGGTCACTATTTCTTTATAAGGAGATGTGGCATTTTCGGACAACAGCACAGCTCAAAATCAAAGGAATACATTTTGGAGTTTAATTAAAGTCAATATTTCTTTTAGCCTTTTTGCTTTGGGGTAAGTACATTTTTAAGCGCAGTAGGAGACATTATGGCCCCAAGTGTCAATCACAAACTGATTTCACTCCAGCTGTGCCGTGTACCAATGTCCCATCACAAGCGTATATTTAACCCTATACTGACTATACTAGAAGAGGAACCCTATACTGTCACTCTGACCAGCGAGGGATACCTGAAAGAAACACTGAAATGTGCTACCTATAGTGCTAGTAATGTGCTACCTATAGTGCTAGCAATGTGCTACCTATAGTGCTAGCAATGTGCTACCTATAGTGCTAGCAATGTGCTACCTATAGTGTTAGCAATGTGCTACCTTAAGTGCTAGCCCAAAAAAAGGCTGACAAGCTTTTAAACCAACTACTATTTAAACCAAATATTAATTCTAACATCGACAAAGAGACAGTTAACTTACATTCTCCAGTGGTCCGCGGAGTGGTGCTTTCAGTCGTCGTCACTGTCAGAGTGTACATAAGAAAAGTAAGTATCAAAATCAGCTGGAAATCGACTCATGTCACATCACCTAATATCACATCGGCTAAAATTCATATCGACTAATGATCCCATCGACTAATGTCACATCGATAAATGTCACATCGATAAATGTCAATATGCTATATTTTAGTTCTCTACTTCAAAAAAAAAATTGTTTAACTGTTCAATCTAATTATGATGTAAGACACAGAGACCTTAAGCAAGTTCATCTGGTGATAACAGCTCTGCTGTGTTTATTTACTTCAAGAAAGTCCTCATGATATAGTCATGTCAAACTCATGATATAATCATGTAAACTCGTGGAAAATCATGTAAATATAAACAATATTTGTGTCTTGTAAGAGTTTGTTAGGGAATTTAAAACCATTTTATCAAACACAAGATTCAACTCCCCATCTTTTACCACACGCTCAAAGTGGAGTTGGGTGCTATATTTGGAAGGGCCAAACAAATGTTGCTGTGCTAGCAGACGCCACATAGTACTTTAGACTGAACCCCCAGAATAGAGTTAACCTATTCCCCATACACCATCTACACCATTCTTTCAATGCACTCACCTGTGGTGGTTATCCTTGTTGTCGTGATGCCACAGTTGTATTCACTTGGAGGTAAACATTTCCGAAGCTGAGTAGTGATTTTTAAAAAATTCTAAGACACTTCTGACTCTACATATTCAATTGTTTCTAAGGCACTTCTGACTCTACATATCCAATTGTTTCTAAGACACTTCTGCCTATACATACTCAATTGTTTCTAAGACACTTCTGACTCTACATATTCAATTGTTTCTAAGACAATTCTGACTCTACATATTCAATTGTTTCTAAGACACTTCTGACTCTACATATTCAATTGTTTCTAAGACACTTCTGACTCTACATACTCAATTGTTTTTAAGACACTTCTGACTCTACATATTCAATTGTTTCTAAGACACTTCTGACTCTACATACTCAATTGTTTTTAAGACACTTCTGACTCTACATATTCAATTGTTTCTAAGACACTTCTGACTCTACATACTCAATTGTTTTTAAGACACTTCTGACTCTACATACTCAATTGTTTTTAAGACACTTCTGACTCTACATATTCAATTGTTTCTAAGACACTTCTGACTCTACATACTCAATTGTTTCTAAGACACTTCTGACTCTACATACTCAATTGTTTCTAAGACACTTCTGACTCTACATACTCAATTGTTTCTAAGACACTTCTGACTGTACATACTCAATTGTTTCTAAGACACTTCTGACTCTACATATTCAATTGTTTCTAAGAAACTTCTGACTCTAAATACTCAATTGTTTCTAAGACACTTCTGACTCTACATACTCAATTGTTTCTAAGACACTTCTGACTCTACATATTCAATTGTTTCTAAGACACTTCTGTCTATACATACTCAATTGTTTCTAAGACACTTCTGACTCTACATATTCAATTGTTTCTAAGACACTTCTGACTCTACATATTCAATTGCTTCTAAGACACTTCTGACTCTACATACTCAATTGTTTCTAAGACACTTCTGACTCTACATATTCAATTGTTTCTAAGACACTTCTGACTCTACATATTCAATTGTTTCTAAGATACTTCTGAATCTAAATATTCAATTGTTTCTAAGACACTTCTGACTCTACATACTCAATTGTTTTAAGACACTTCTGACTCTACATATTCAATTGTTTCTAAGACACTTCTGACTCTAAATACTCAATTGTTTTTAAGACACTTCTGACTCTACATATTCAATTGTTTCTAAGACACTTCTGACTCTACATACTCAATTGTTTTTAAGACACTTCTGACTCTACATGCTCAATTGTTTTTAAGACACTTCTGACTCGACATATTCAATTGTTTCTAAGACACTTCTGACTCTACATACTCAATTGTTTTTAAGACACTTCTGACTCTACATATTCAATTGTTTCTAAGACACTTCTGACTCTACATTCTCAATTGTTTTTAAGACACTTCTGACTCTACATATTCAATTGTTTTTAAGACACTTCTGCCTATACATACTCAATTGTTTCTAAGACACTTCTGACTCTACATATTCAATTGTTTTTAAGACACTTCTGACTCTAAATATTCAATTGTTTCTAAGACACTTCTGACTCTACATATTCAATTGTTTCTAAGACACTTCTGACTCTACATACTCAATTGTTTCTAAGACACTTCTGACTCTACATATTCAATTGTTTCTAAGGCACTTCTGACTCTACATATTCAATTGTTTCTAAGACACTTCGGACTCTACATATTCAATTGTTTCTAAGACACTTCTGACTCTAAATATTCAACTGTTTCTAAGACACTTCTGACTCTACATACTCAATTGTTTTAAGACACTTCTGACTCTACATACTCAATTGTTTCTAAGATACTTCTAACTCTACATACTTAATTGTTTCTAAGACACTTCTGACTCTACATACTCAATTGTTTCTAAGACACTTCTGACTCTACATACTCAATTGTTTCTAAGACACTTCTTACTCTACATATTCAATTGAATGAAACACATTTCTGACTTATTCTTTAACTTTAATATTAAAATAGGACTATTTATGTGGCTCAGTGGCAAATTAATGTGAGTATGATGCAGGTTAATGGGAATTAACCGTCGGAGCTCTCCCTGACTGTCCGCTTCTCTGTCCGGCCGACTTCTGTCCAGTCCTGTCCAGAAGTCCCTATTTATAAGTCCCAAGCCCATAGAGTTTCTTTCCCATGTCTATAATCTGACGCACCAACCCTTTTGATCAGTCAGTCGCTACAACCACCCCTGTCGCCTCCAGGAAATACCCTGGTCCGATGGCCGGTAACCCTGCTGTAAGATCTGACGCGCCCGGCCCTTTGATCAGTCGGTCGAGGTCCGAACTCTCCACAACATGTTGTAGGTTTATGGGAATATATTGAAGGTTTATGGGAATATGTTGAAGGTTAATAGGAATATGTTGAAGGTTTATGGGAATATGTTGCAGGTTAATGGGAATATATTGAAGGTTAATGGGAATATGTTGTAGGTTTATGGGAATATGTTGAAGGTTTATGGGAATATGTGGAAGGTTTATGGGAATATGTTGCGGGTTAATAGGAATATGTTGTAGGTTTATGGGAATATGTTGAAGGTTTATGGAAATATGTTGAAGTTTTATGGGAATATGTTTAAGGTTTATGGGAATATGTTGAAGGTTTATGGGAATATGTTTAAGGTTTATGAGAATATGTTTAAGGTTTATGGGAATATGTTGCGGGTTAATAGGAATATGTTGAAGGTTTATGGGAATATGTTGCAGGTTAATGGGAATATATTGAAGGTTAATGGGAATATGTTGTAGGTTTATGGGAATATGTTGAAGGTTTATAGGAATATGTTGAAGGTTTATGGGAATATGTTGCAGGTTAATGTGAGGATGTTGTAGATTAATTGGAATATTTCGCAGGCTCTGTGAATATGTTGCATGCTAATGTTAATATGTTGAAGGTTAATGTGAATCTGATAGATTAATGTGAATCTGGTAGGTTAATGAGAATGTGCCAGTATAATGTGAATGTGTTGAAGGTTAATGTGAATTTGGGGCAAATTTTATTTTCGTCTTGGTATCTCGTCTCCATTTTGGAATATTAAAAATTTAATTTTTAAATAATTTTTTTGTTATTCTTCCCTTTACCTTATGTGACATTAGATGTTTTATTAAGCCAATATTTTCCTTTCTTTTGTCATTAAGATTATATTCCACTATGTCATAACTACATATGCTAATAACTCTTAAGGCGCGCTATATATTAATGTATGTTTGTAATCTATGCTATATATTAAAACTGACGCTAGGCAAGAAGCTGGTGTTGCTATCAAAACGTCTCCTGTGAGCAGGCTCCCCACCTCTCTAAAAGGTATCAATGACCGTCTCATGACGTTGAAACTACCCATCTGCCATGGAAAGAAGTCTGCTATGCTAGTCAGTGCCTATGGACCCACCCTGACAAACACTGAAGAGCCATAGATTTGTTTTATGAACTCTGAACACTGTCATCTCTTCCATACTGATTGCTGACAAACTCATCTTACTTGGAGATTTCAATGCACGTGTCGGCAGTGACTACACCCCCTAACGGGGGTTATTGGGAAGTGCAACTGCTACGTAAGACCTTTGCTAAATACGGCCTTCTAAAATCGAACTCCACCTTAGCCTGCCTACGCGCAACAAGACCTCCTGGATGCATCCCCGTTCAAACCACTGGCACCTAATTGATTATGTCATCTTCAGAAGTAGGGACCGCCAGGACGTGAGGGTGACTAAGGCCATGTGTGGCGCAGAATGCTGGACGGATCACCACCTCATCGTCTCAAATATGACAATTCACATCCAACCTAAGAGATGACCCCAGGCCACCAAAGCTCCAAAACGCCTCAACATCAGAAAGTTGAAGATCCTTGTTGTGAGACAAGCCTCAATGATGCCTCAATTATCCACGTGTACAAACACAAAGGAAACCGCCATCCCTGCGACAATCACAGTGAACTTTCCCTGCTGTCCATTGCAGGCAAGATCTTGGCCTGAGCCCTTCTGAACCGCCTGAATGCACATCTAGAGGTAGGTCTCCTACCCGAAAGTCAATGCGGTTTCCGCAAAAAATGCGGAACTATCGATAAGGTGTTTGCAGCTAGACAGCTTCAAGAGAAATGCCAGGAGCAAAATATAGATTTGTATTCCACATTGATCTGCTTGAATAAGGCTTTTAACAGGGTCAATAGAGGTGGCCTGTGGAAAATCATGAAGAAATACGGATGCCCAGACGAGCTCACAAACATCATCCGTCAGCTGCATGATGGCGTGATGGCCCAAGTGCAGGACAACGGTCAATCATCTCAAGCATTCCCCGTCACAAACGGTGTAAAGCAGGGTTGTGTTCTTGCTCCCACACTCTTCTGTATTATGGTTTTTGCAATGCTGTCTGGTGCGTTTAAGGACTCCAACCCGGGCTTGCCAATCCGGTTTCGCAGTGATGGTTCAGTCTTCGACCTTAGGACGCTTCAAGCTAAAACTTAGGTAAAAAATAACACCATCAAGAGCTTCTGTTTGTCGGACGATTGTTTCCTCAACGCTGCCTTAGAAGCCCTCATGCTAAGTAGCGTTGATATCACTCCGAGGTCTGCAGTAATTTTGGCCTCACAATCAACACAAAGAAGACTGAGGTCATATATCAACAAGCTCCCAGTAAGCCCTACTTCGAACCCAACATCCTCATCAGCGGACAGCGTCTCAACCCGGTGGATAAATTTCCTTACTTGGGCAGCACCCTCTCTAGATCTGTCATCATGGATGATGAAATGAATGGCAGAGTCGGAAAAGCTAGTGCTATATTTGGCAGACTCCGCAGAACTGTTTGGACAGGAGAGGTATCAGACGAGAAACGAAGATCAAGGTCTATAGCGCAGCAGTCCTCCCTACACTTCTATGTGGATGTGAAACGTGGACAGCCTACCAGCGTCACGCCAAGAAACTGAATCATTTTCACATAACGTGCCTCAGGAAACTCCTTGGCATTAGGTGACAAGAGATCTGACACAGAGGTCCTCGCTAGACCGAACCTACCTATTTTATTTACCACCCTAATGCAGTCTCAAGAAGGTAAAGAAAGGCGTTACAAAGACACACTGAAAGTGGCACTAAAGGCCTTCATCATCAACCCCACTCAATGGGTGCAGTCAGCCCAGGACAGGGCCAGTGGAGAGCAGCTGTCAAGAGGGGAGCTAAATCCTATCAAGCTAGTAGGCAAACCACAGCTGAGACACGCAGTCATGATGGCCGAAAGAGCAACATTAGGTTGGCGTCGGCAGCAACCATCCCGCGGTGCCAGAGATTATTCCGAGCACGAATTGGTCTAGCAAGCCCCCTCCCCACCCACCTAACCGGTTGAATCGATGGTCCTAGTCGATTCCGACGGACGAACAACAATACCAACACTATTAAAACCCATATAATAAGTTATTAACAACAACAACAATATTAAAACAACCTATATAATAAGTTGCATGGCTCATAACGAAGAAATAACTTAGTTTTTCAAAAAATTTTAACAATTTGTTTTGCTGGCAACCATCCGTCACAGGGCGAAATCCACAGGGCCTGGGATTATTCTTCATGGATTGTAGCTGGTTCCCAACAGCAAGTCGCCTCTCTCCAGCCGATGGCTAACCAGGCTCCCAGGTTAACGGGTCCCATCCATCCAGGTTGCTGGTTTGCTTGACTGGGCTTTGGTTGGAGTTGAGCCTTGGACCACCAACATGGGGTCTGCACAGTTTAGACCACTCGGCCACCCAGCACACCACTCGGCCACCCAGCACACCACTCTCCCACCCAGCACACCACTTGGCCACCCAGCACACCACTCGGCCACCCAGCACACCACTCGGCCACCCAGCACACCACTCGTCCACCCAGCACACCACTTGTCCACCCAGCACACCACTCGGCCACCCAGCACACCACTCGGCCACCCAGCACACCACTCGGCCCCCCAGCTCACCAATCGGCCCCCAAGCACACCGACTTAGAGATATTTAAAGTGTGCGTGATTTAGTTAGCAATAATTTTTAGCTGTAATTGACAGACTGGCATCAGGTAAATTAAGATTGAAATACGATTCTTTGATACCTTTTTGGCAGCAGAGGCAGAAAGAACACTAAGTGTCGCATGTTTTTACCTGAGGGTGAAAGTTTCCATTCTCTGGGCATTCCTTTAAGACGGATACCTCTCTGTTGCATTGGTAGTACTTCTGACATATCTTGGGGTGAGGTCTTCTCCCAATGTTCACACCAAGACATGCATCTGAATCTATCATTCAAGTCATTATTTTAATTAGAAAACATATGTTAAAGAAGATTACAGAGACAATTAATAAGTGAAAAAATACGACTTCTGATCTTAGCTGTGGAGTCAACTAGGTGGATAACTTTTGTTTCATGTGATTCTCTAATCATAATTAGGTTGAGGCTTTTCTCATACGGAGAAAATATGATTATAATGTCGTGACTATAACTTTTGGTTTGAGAATGAGCATTGGTTACTGGGTTAGTGGGTGCGTCAATGAGTTCGTTATTCAGTGGATTAGTTGTCACATTTGTTATCAATTCTACTGTTATGGTGACACAGGACTAGATCTCGACCAAGTAGATTGATTGTCTGATAGTTAATAGAATTATAGGATGAGATCTCGACCAAGTAGATTGATTGTCTGATATTTAATAGAGTTACAGGATTAGAACTCGACCAAGTAGATTGATTGTCTGATAGTTAATAGAGTTACTCCTACTCTAGAGCTGGTTCATCATTGATTGTCTGATATTTAATAGAGTTACAGGATTAGAACTCGACCAAGTAGATTGATTGTCTGATAGTTAATAGAGTTACAGGATGAGATCTCGACCAAGTAGATTGATTGTCTGATAGTTAATAGAGTTACAGGAAGAAATTTTAACCAAGTAGATTGATTGTCTGATAGTTAATAGAGTGAAGGGATGAGATCTCGACCAAGTAGATTGATTCTCTGATAGTTAATAGAGTGACAAGATAAGATCTCGATCAAGTGGATTGATTGTCTGATAGTTAATAGACTTACAGGATGAGATCTCAACCAAGTAGATTGATTGTCTGATAGTTAATAGAGTGATAGGATTAAATCTCGACCAAGTAGATTGATTGTCTAATAGTTATAAGAGTTACAGGATGAGATCACGACCAAATAGATTGATTGTCTAATAGTTAATTAAGTTACAGGATGAGATCTCGACCAAGTAGATTGATTGTCTGATAGTTAATAGAGTGACAGGATGAGATCTTATAAGAGTTACAGGATGAGATCACGACCAAATAGATTGATTGTCTAATAGTTAATTAAGTTACAGGATGAGATCTCGACCAAGTAGATTGATTGTCTGATAGTTAATAGAGTGACAGGATGAGATCTTGACCAAGTAGATTGATTGTTTCATAGTTAATTGAGTGACAGAATGAGATCTCGACCAAGTAGATTGATTCTCTGATAGTTAATTAAGTTACAGGATAAGTTTTCAACCAAATAGATTGATTGTCTGATAGTTAATAGAGTTACAGGGTGAGATCTCGACCAAGTACATTGATTGTCTCATAGTTAATTAAGTTACAGGATGAGATCTCGACCTAGTAGATTGATTTTCTCATAGTTAATTAAGTTACATGATGAGATCTCGACCAAGTACATTGATTGTCTGATAGTTATAAGAGTTACAGGATTAGATCTCGACCAAGTAGATTGATTGTCTGATAGTTAGTAGAGTTACAGGATGAGATCTAGACCAAGTAGATTGATTGTCTGATATTTAATAGAGTTACAAGATGAGATCTCGACCAAGTAGATTGATTGTCTGATAGTTAATAGAGTTACAGGATGAGATCTCAACCAAGTAGATTCATTGTCTGATAGTTAATAGAGTTACAGGATGAGATCTCGACCAAGTAGATTAATTGTCTGATATTTAATAGAGTTACATGATGAGATCTCGACCAAGTGGATTGATTCTCTGATAGTTAATTAAGTCACAGGAAAAATCTAGACCAAGTAGATTGATTGTCTCAAAGTTAATGAAGTTACAGGATGAGATCTCGACCAAGTAGATTGATTGTCTGATAGTTAATTAAGTTACAAAATGAGATCTCGACCAAGTAGATTGATTGTCTGATAGTTAATAGAGTTACATGATGAGATCTCGACCAAGTAGATTGATTGTCTAATAGTTATAAGAGTTACATGATGAGATCTCGACCAAGTAGATTGATTTTCTGATAGTTAATAGTGTTACACGATGAGATCTTGACCAAGTATATTGATTGTCTAATAGTTAATTAAGTTACAGGATGATATCTCGACCAAGTACATTGATTGTCTGATAGTTATTAGACTTACACGATGAGTTCTCGACCAAGTAGATTGATCTTCTGATAGTTAATAGAGTTACAGGATGAGATTTCAACCAAGTAGATTGATTGTCTGATAGTTAATAGAGTTACAGGATGAGATCTTGACCAAGTAGATTGATTGTCTGATATTTAATAGAGTTACAGGATGAGATCTCGAAGAAGTGGATTGATTCTCTGATAGTTAATTAAGTTACAGGAAAAATCTAGACCAAGTAGATTGATTGTCTCATAGTTAATAGATTTACAGGATGAGATCTCGACCAAGTAGATTGATTGTCTGATAGTTAATAGACTTACAGGAAGAAATCTCGACCAAGTAGAATGATTCTCTGATAGTTAATAGAGTGACAAGATAAGATCTTGATCAAGTAGATTGACTTTCTGATAGTTAATATACTTACAGGATGAGATCTCGACCAAGTAGATTGATTGTCTGATAGTTAATAGAGTGACAGGTTGAAATCTCGACCAAGTAGATTGATTGTCTCATAGTTAATAGAGTGACAGAATGAGATCTCGACCAAGTAGATTGATTGTCTGATAGTTAATAGAGTGACAGGATGAGATCTCGACCAAGTAGATTGATTGTCTAATAGTTATAAGATTTACAGGATGAGATCTCGACCAAGTAGATTGATTGTCTGATATTTAATAGAGTACAAGGATGAGATCTCGACCAAGTAGATGATTGTCTGTTTAATAGAGTTACAGGATGAGATCACGACCAATTAGATTGATTGTCTAATAGTTAATTAAGTTACAGGATGAGATCTCGACCAAGTAGATTGATTGTCTGATAGTTAATAGAGTTAAAGGATGAGATCTCGACCAAGTAGATTGATTTTCTGATAGTTAATAGAGTTACAGGATGAGATCTCAACCAAGTAGATTGATTGTCTGATAGTTAATAGAGTTACAGGATGAGATCTCGACCAAGTAGATTGATTGTCTGATAGTTAGTAGAGTTACAGGATGAGATCTAGACCAAGTAGATTGATTGTCTGATATTTAATAGAGTTACAGGATGAGATCTCGACCAAGTAGATTCATTGTCTAATAGTTATATGAGTTACAGGATGAGATCTCGACCAAGTAGATTGATTGTCTGATAGTTAATAGAGTGACAGGATGAAATCTCGACCAAGTAGATTGATTGTTTAATAGTTATAAGAGTTACAGGATGAGATCACGACCAAATAGATTGATTGTCTAATAGTTAATTAAGTTACAGGATGAGATCTCGACCAAGTAGATTAATTGTCTGATAGGTAATAGAGTGACAGGATGAGATCTCGACCAAGTAGATTGATTGTCTAATAGTTATAAGAGTTACAGGATGAGATCTCGACCAAGTAGATTGATTGTCTGATATTTAATAGAGTTACAGGATTAGAACTCGACCAAGTAGATTGATTGTCTGATAGTTAATAGAGTTACAGGATGAGATCTCGACCAAGTAGATTGATTGTCTGATAGTTAATAGAGTGACAGGATGAAATCTCGACCAAGTAGATTGATTGTCTAATAGTTATAAGAGTTACAGGATGAGATCACGACCAAATAGATTGATTGTCTAATAGTTAATTAAGTTACAGGATGAGATCTCGACCAAGTAGATTGATTGTCTGATAGTTAATAGAGTGACAGGATGAGATCTCGACCAAGTAGATTGATTGTCTAATAGTTATACGAGTTACAGGATGAGATCTCGACCAAGTAGATTTATTGTCTGATATTTAATAGAGTTACAGGATGAGATCTCGACCAAGTAGTTTGATTGTCTGAGAGTTAATAGAGTTACAGGATGAGATCTCGACCAAGTAGATTGATTGTCTTATAGTTAATAGAGTTACAGGAAGAGATTTGAACCAAGTAGATTGATTGTCTGATAGTTAATAGAGTGAAGGGATGAGATCTCGACCAAGTAGATTGATTGTCTCATAGTTAATAGATTTACAGGATGAGATCTCGACCAAGTAGATTGATTGTCTGATAGTTAATAGAGTTACAGGAAGAAATCTCGACCAAATAGAATGATTCTCTGATAGTTAATAGAGTGACAAGATAAGATCTTGATCAAGTAGATTGACTTTCTGATGGTTAATATACTTACAGGATGAGATCTTGACCAAGTAGATTGATTGTCTGATAGTTAATAGAGTGACAGGTTGAAATCTCGACCAAGTAGATTGATTGTCTCTTAGTTAATAGAGTGACAGAATGAGATCTTGACCAAGTAGATTGATTGTCTGATAGTTAATAGAGTTACAGGATGAGATCTCGACCAAGTAGATTGATTGTCTGATAGTTAATAGAGTTACAGGATGAGATCTCGACCAAGTAGATTGATTGTCTGATAGTTAATAGAGTTACAGGATGAGATCTCGACCAAGTAGATTGATTGTCTGATAGTTAATAGAGTTACAGGATGAGATCTCGACCAAGTAGATTGATTGTCTGATAGTTAATAGAGTTACAGGATGAGATCTCGACCAAGTAGATTGATTGTCTGATAGTTAATAGAGTTACAGGATGAGATCTCGACCAAGTAGATTGATTGTCTGATAGTTAATAGAGTTACAGGATGAGATCTCGACCAAGTAGATTGATTGTCTGATAGTTAATAGAGTTACAGGATGAGATCTCGACCAAGTAGATTGATTGTCTGATAGTTAATAGAGTTACAGGATGAGATCTCGACCAAGTAGATTGATTGTCTGATAGTTAATAGAGTTACAGGATGAGATCTCGACCAAGTAGATTGATTGTCTGATAGTTAATAGAGTTACAGGATGAGATCTCGACCAAGTAGATTGATTGTCTGATAGTTAATAGAGTTACAGGATGAGATCTCGACCAAGTAGATTGATTGTCTGATAGTTAATAGAGTTACAGGATGAGATCTCGACCAAGTAGATTGATTGTCTGATAGTTAATAGAGTTACAGGATGAGATCTCGACCAAGTAGATTGATTGTCTGATAGTTAATAGAGTTACAGGATGAGATCTCGACCAAGTAGATTGATTGTCTGATAGTTAATAGAGTTACAGGATGAGATCTCGACCAAGTAGATTGATTGTCTGATAGTTAATAGAGTTACAGGATGAGATCTCGACCAAGTAGATTGATTGTCTGATAGTTAATAGAGTTACAGGATGAGATCTCGACCAAGTAGATTGATTGTCTGATAGTTAATAGAGTTACAGGATGAGATCTCGACCAAGTAGATTGATTGTCTGATAGTTAATAGAGTGACAGGTTGAAATCTCGACCAAGTAGATTGATTGTCTCTTAGTTAATAGAGTGACAGAATGAGATCTTGACCAAGTAGATTGATTGTCTGATAGTTAATAGAGTGACAGGATGAGATCTCGACCAAGTAGATTGATTTTCTAATAGTTATAAGATTTACAGGATGAGATCTCGACCAAGTAGATTGATTGTCTGATATTTAATAGAGTACAAGGATGAGATCTCGACCAAGTAGATGATTGTCTGATAGTTAATAGAGTTATAGGATGAGATCACGACCAATTAGATTGATTGTCTAATAGTTAATTAAGTTACAGGAGGAGATCTCGACCAAGTAGATTGATTGTCTGATAGTTAATAGAGTTAAAGGATGAGATCTCGACCAAGTAGATTGATTTTCTGATAGTTAATAGAGTTACAGGATGAGATCTCAACCAAGTAGATTGATTGTCTGATAGTTAATAGAGTTACAGGATGAGATCTCGACCAAGTAGATTGATTGTCTGATAGTTAATAGAGTGACAGGATGAAATCTCGACCAAGTAGATTGATTGTCTAATAGTTATAAGAGTTACAGGATGAGATCACGACCAAATAGATTGATTGTCTAATAGTTAATTAAGTTACAGGATGAGATCTCGACCAAGTAGATTGATTGTCTGATAGTTAATAGAGTGACAGGATGAGATCTTGACCAAGTAGATTGATTGTTTCATAGTTAATTGAGTGACAGAATGAGATCTCGACCTAGTAGATTGATTCTCTGATAGTTAATTAAATTACAGGATGAGATTTCAACCAATTAGATTGACTGTCTGATAGTTAATAGAGTTACAGGATTAGATCACGACAAAGTAGATTGATTGTCTAAGAGTTAATTAAGTTACAGGATGAGATCTCGACCAAGTAAATTGATTGTCTGATAGTTATTAGACTTACACGATGAGTTCTCGAACAAGTAGATTGATTGTCTGATAGTTAATAGAGTTCCAGGTTGAGATTTCAACCAAGTAGATTGATTGTCTGATAGTTAATAGAGTTACAGGATGAGATCTTGACCAAGTAGATTGATTGTCTGATATTTAATAGAGTTACAGGATGAGATCTCGAACAAGTGGATTGATTCTCTGATAGTTAATTAAGTTACAGGAAAAATCTTGACCAATTAGATTGATTGTCTGATAGTTAATAGAGTGACAGGTTGAAATCTCGACCAAGTAGATTGATTGTCTCTTAGTTAATAGAGTGACAGAATGAGATCTTGACCAAGTAGATTGATTGTCTGATAGTTAATAGAGTTAAAGGATGAGATCTCGACCAAGTAGATTGATTTTCTGATAGTTAATAGAGTTACAGGATGAGATCTCAACCAAGTAGATTGATTGTCTGATAGTTAATAGAGTTACAGGATGAGATCTCGACCAAGTAGATTGATTGTCTGATAGTTAATGGAGTTACAGGATGAGATTTCGACCAAGTAGATTAATTGTCTGATTGTTAATTAAGTTACAAAAGGAGATCTTGACCAAGAAGATTGATTGTCTGATAGTTAATAGAGTGAAGGGATGAGATCTCGACCAAGTAGATTGATTGTCTGATAGTTAATAGAGTGACAGGATGAGATCTCGACCAAGTAGATTGATTGTTTCATAGTTAATTGAGTGACACAATGAGATCTCGACCTAGTAGATTGATTCTCTGATAGTTAATTAAGTTACAGGATGAGATTTCAACCAATTAGATTGATTGTCTGATAGTTAATAGAGTTACAGGATGAGATCTCGACCAAGTACATTGATTGTCTCATAGTTAATTAAGTTACAGGATGAGATCTCGACCAAGTAGATTGATTTTCTCATAGTTAATTAAGTTACAGGATGAGATCTCGACCAAGTACATTGATTGTCTGATAGTTATAAGAGTTACAGGATTAGATCTCGACCAAGTAGATTGATTGTCTGATAGTTAGTAGAGTTACAGGATGAGATCTAGACCAAGTAGATTGATTGTCTGATATTTAATAGAGTTACAAGATGAGATCTCGACCAAGTAGATTGATTGTCTGATAGTTAATAGAGTTACAGGATGAGATCTCAACCAAGTAGATTCATTGTCTGATAGTTAATAGAGTTACAGGAAGAGATTTGAACCAAGTAGATTGATTGTCTGATAGTTAATAGAGTGAAGGGATGAGATCTCGACCAAGTAGATTGATTGTCTCATAGTTAATAGATTTACAGGATGAGATCTCGACCAAGTAGATTGATTGTCTGATAGTTAATAGAGTTACAGGAAGAAATCTCGACCAAGTAGAATGATTCTCTGATAGTTAATAGAGTGACAAGATAAGATCTTGATCAAGTAGATTGATTTTCTGATAGTTAATATACTTACAGAATGATATCTCGACCAAGTAGATTTATTGTCTGATAGTTAATAGAGTGACAGGTTAAAATCTCGACCAAGTAGATTGATTGTCTCATAGTTAATAGAGTGACAGAATGAGATCTCGACCAAGTAGATTATTTGTCTGATGGTTAATAGAGTGACAGGATGAGATCTCGACCAAGTAGATTCATTGTCTAATAGTTAGAAGATTTACAGGATGAGATCTCGACCAAGTAGATTGATTGTCTGATATTTAATAGTGTGACAGGATGAGATCTCGACCAAGTAGATGATTGTCTGATAGTTAATAGAGTTACACGATGAGATCACGACCAATTAGATTGATTGTCTAATAGTTAATTAAGTTACAGGAGGAGATCTCAACCAAGTAGATTGATTGTCTGATAGTTAATAGAGTTAAAGGATGAGATCTCAACCAAGTAGATTGATTTTCTTATAGTTAATAGAGTTACAGGATGAAATCTCGACCAAGTAGATTGATTGTCTGATAGTTAATAGAGTGACAGAATGAGATCTCGACCAAGTAGATTGATTGTCTGATATTTAATAGAGTTACAGGATGAGATCTTGACCAAGTAGATTGATTGTCTGATAGTTAATAGAGTTACAAAATGAGATCTTGACCAAGTAGATTGATTGTCTGATATTTAATAGAGTTATAGGAAGATATCTCGACCAAGTAGATTGATTGTCTCATAGTTAATAGAGTTACAGAATGGGATCTGAACCAAGTAGATTGATTGCCTCATAGTTAATAGAGTTACTGAATGAGATCTCAAAAAAGTAGATTGATTGTCTGATAGTTAATAGAGTTACAAAATGAGATCTCGACCAAGTAGATTGATTGTCTGATAGTTAATTTACAGGATGAGATCTCGACCAAGTAGATTGATTGTCTCATAGTTAATAGAGTTACAGAATGGGATCTGGACCAAGTAGATTGATTGCCTCATAGTTAATAGAGTTACTGAATGAGATCTCAACCAAGTAGATTGATTGTCTGATAGTTAATAGAGTTACAAAATGAGATCTCGACCAAGTAGATTGATTGTCTGATAGTTAATAGAGTTACAGGATGAGATCACGACCAAGTAGATTGATTGTCTGATAGTTAATAGAGTTACAGGATGAGATCTCGATCAAGTAGATTGATTGTCTGATATTTAATAGAGTTACAGGATGAGATCTCGACCAAGTGGATTGATTCTCTGATAGTTAATTAAGTTACAGGAAAAATCTAGACCAAGTAGATTGATTGTCTCATAGTTAATAGAGTGACAGGATGAGATCTCGACCAAGTAGATTGATTGTCTGATAGTTAATAGAGTTACAGGAAGATATCTCGACCAAGTAGATTGATTCTCTGATAGTTAATAGAGTGACAAGATAAGATCTCGACCAAGTAGATTGATTTTCTGATCGTTAATAGAGTTACAGGATGAGATCTCAACCAAGTAGATTGATTGTCTGATAGTTAATAGAGTTACAGGATGAGATCTCGACCAAGTAGATTGATTGTCTCATAGTTAATAGAGTGACAGAATAAGATCTCGACCAAGTAGATTGATTTTCTGATCGTTAATAGAGTTACAGGATGAGATCTCAACCAAATAGATTGATTGTCTGATAGTTAATAGAGTTACAGGATGAGATCTCAACCAAGTAGATTGATTGTCTGATAGTTAATAGAGTTACAGGATGAAATCTCGACCAAGTAGATTGCTTGTCTGATATTTAAAAAGAGTTACAGGATGAGATCTCGACCAAGTAGATTGATTGTCTGATAGTTAATAGAGTAACAGGATTAGATCTCGAACAAGTAGATTGATTGTCTAATAGTTAATTAAGTTACAGGAGGAGATCTCGACCAAGTACATTGATTGTCTGATAGTTAATAGACTTACAGGATGAGATCTCGACCAAGTAGATGGATTTTCTGATAGTTAATAGAGTTACAGGATGAGATCTCGACCAAGTACATTGATTGTCTCATAGTTAATTAAGTTACAGGATGAGATCTCGACCAAGTAGATTGATTATCTGATAGTTAATAGAGTTACAGGATGAGATCTCGACCAAGTAGATTGATTGTCTGATAGTTAATTAAGTTACAGGATGAGATCTTGACCAAGTAGATTGACTCTCTGATAGTTTATTAAATTACAGGATGAGATCTCGACCAAGTAGATTGATTGTGTGATAGATAATAGAGTTACAGGAAGATATCTCGACCAAGTAGATTGATTCTCTGATAGTTAATAGAGTGACATAATGAGATCTCGACAAAGTAGATTGATTCTCTGATAGTTAATTAAGTTACAGGATGAGATCTCAACCAAGTAGATTGATTGTCTGATAAATAATAGAGTTACAGGATGAGATCTCGACCAAGTAGATTGATTGTCTCATAGTTAATAGAGTTACAGGATGAGATCTCGACCAAGTAGATTGATTATCTGATAGTTAATTAAGTTACAGGATGAGATCACGACCAAGTAGATTGATTGTCTGATAGTTATAAGAGTTACAGGATGAGATTTCGACCAAGTAGATTTATTGTCTGATAGTTAATATAGTTACAGTGAAAGATCTCGACCAAGTAGATTGATTGTCTTATATTTAATAGATTGACAGGATTAAATCTCGACCAAGTAGATTGATTGTATCATAGTTCATAGAGTGACAGAATGAGATCTCGACCAAGTAGATTTATTGTCTGATAGTTAATAGAGTGACAGGATGAAATCTCGACCAAGTAGATTGATTGTCTCATAGTGAGTAGAAGTATAGGATGAGATCTCAACCAAGTAGATTGATTGTCTGATAGTTAATTAAGTTACAGGATGAGATCTCGACCAAGTAGATTGATTTTCTTGTAGTTAATAGATTTACAGGATGAGATGTCGACCAAGTAGATTGATTGTCTGCTTGTTAATAGAGTTACAGGATGAGATCTCGACCAAGTAGATTGATTGTCTGATAGTTAATAGAGTTACAGGATGAGATCTCGACCAAGTAGATTGATTGTCTGATAGTTAATTAGGTTACAGGATGAGATCTCGACCAAGTAGATTGATTGTCTAATTGTTAATTAAGTTAAAGAATGAGATCTAAACCAAGTAGATTGATTGTCTAAGCTCAGTGTAATTGTTACTTTTAAAACTTTGCGGAAATATTAACAGCCGCTTTAAAAACTTCTTTAAAATGAAGGAAGACAACACTTTGCTACCTCTCATTCAATCACTGTACAGAAAACAACACGTTGCTACTTCTCCTTCAATCACTGTACAGAAGACAACACTTTGCTACCTCTCGTTCAATCACTGTACAGAAGACAAGACTTTGCTACCTCTCGTTCAATCACTGTACAGAAAACAACACTTTGCTACCTCTCGTTCAATCACTGTACAGAAGACAACACTTTGCTACCTTTCGTTCAAACACTGTACAGAAGACAAGACTTTGCTACCTCTCATTCAATCATTGTACAGAAGACAACACTTTGCTACCTCTCGTTCAATCACTGTACAGAAGACAAGACTTTGCTACCTCTCGTTCAATCACTGTACAGAAGACAAGACTTTTTTACCTCTCATTCAATCATTGTACAAAAAAAAACACTTTGCTACCTCTCGTTCAATCATTGTACAGAAGACAATACTTTGCTACCTCTCTTTCAATCATGGTATAGAAAACAACACTTTTCTACCTCTCGTTCAATCATTGTACAGAAGACAAGACTTTGCTACCTCTCATTCAATCATTGTACAAAAAACAACACTTTGCTACCTCTCGCTCAATCATTGTACAGAAGACAAGACTTTGCTACCTCTCGTTCAATCATTGTACACTACAGGGGGAGTTCATTAATTATGTCAACAGAATAGGGTGGAGGGGGAGGGGGTTTAGATTAGTTGACGTCACCAATCATGTTTTCTCTGTTAAAATTTAAATCTTAAAAATTGACTGGTCATTACATTATTTTAAACAATTTTAAGTGTAAATGAGTGTAAACAGTCCTCTAATTTTTAGGCCTTTTAACAATATAAGATTTATTTAATGTCTGTCTGTGCACTGCAGATGGCTGGTCAGAATGTTAACTCACTTTATTAATGCAAGAAAAGTCAAAAGTTGGCCTCTCTTCACCTGTAGATTCTGTTGCAGGTATGGAACAAGGACAAGATTCAAGTGTCATGTGCAGTCAAGATAAATGATATGGTTAGAGTAGGAATACGATATTTTCAGAATTATGCGAATAGAAAGTGAGTAACAATAATAACATAGCTGCTTGATCGGATTTGCAAAATTGTAATATCTATTTTACATCACAACTTATGTTGAAAAAGTATGTTCAACAGAACCGACCATTGCCCTTTTGAGCATAAGAAATTACCACCTGCTCCTCAACAAAAAATGATTCGACCAATGCGAGTAGCTGCAATGGAGATAAAGAGAGCTTATAGCAAATATGGCTCACACCGACAATGCTTCTCTTTTAAGGGCTGATTGGTTAGATGAGGATGGTGTTGACTGTCTGGTATACCAGTGCCGCAAGATGAAAATGATCAATCAGCTACAATAGACTATGCCCATCTGAGGCGTCATTTCATTTTTTTTTTTGGGGGGGGGGGGAGTGGGGTAAAACCAAAACTTGTTCGGCTTGTTAAGTTGTTTGTTACTGGAGGCGCCACTGTACTAAGCAGTTTAAATAAAACTTGCAAATTAGGGGGTGGGAGCAATATTTAGTCTTTAACAACATTTTAATTAATTCTGTATTTTTAAATTTCAATGTAAAAACGTTTCAACTGCTTGATTAACAAGCTAAATGGTTTTCCTACAATTGTATAGTCATTAAAATAGATCAGCACAAAGTAAAATATATTTATAAATTTATTTTAATATCTTTCCCTTTTTGGGGGTGGGGGGTAGAAAACGTTGACATAATTCAATAGGTGGGTCGGGGTGGGGGGTAGAAAACGTTGACATAATTCAATAGGTGGGTCGGGGTGGGGGGTAGAAAACGTTGACATAATTCAATAGGTGGGTCATTGAATGTTTGACAGTTGTTGATAAAAGGGAGGGGGGCAAAAATTGCTTAAAAATTGTTGATGTAATTGACGGACGACCCAACAAATGTAATTGTATGGTAAAAACAAAATACCTAACATACAACTTTATTTTAATCTTTTTATATTAACTATATACACTATATCACAAACATTAGAAACATATCACATTCATTAGGAACATATCCATTTATTAGAAATATATCACAGCCATAAGAAACATATAGCAGTTATTAGGAACATATCCAAGTCATTAGACATATAGCAAAGTCTTTAGGAACATATCAGTCATTAGAAGCATATCCCAGTAGTTAGAAATATAACACAGTCATTGGGAAGATAACACAGTCATTTGGAATATACCACAGTCATTAGGAACACATCACAGTCATTTTAACACATCCTGGTCTATGGATCATATCACAGTCTTTAGGAACATATCACATACATAAGGAACATATTACAGACATAAGGAACATATTACAGACCTAAGGAACATATCACAGACATAAGGAACACATCACAGACATAAGGAACATATCACAGACATAAGGAACACATCACAGACATAAGGAACACATCACAGACATTAGGAACATATCACAGACATAAGGAACACATCACAGACATAAGGAACACATCACAGACATTAGGAACATATCACAGACATAAGGAACACATCACAGACATTAGGAACACATCACAGACATAAGGAACACATCACAGACATAAGGAACACATCACAGACATAAGGAACACATCACAGACATAAGGAACACATCACAGACATAAGGAACACATCACAGACATAAGGAACACATCACAGACATAAGGAACACATCACAGACATAAGGAACACATCACAGACATAAGGAACACATCACAGACATAAGGAACACATCACAGACATAAGGAACACATCACAGACATAAGGAACACATCACAGACATAAGGAACACATCACAGACATAAGGAACACATCACAGACATAAGGAACACATCACAGACATAAGGAACACATCACAGACATAAGGAACACATCACAGACATAAGGAACACATCACAGACATAAGGAACACATCACAGACATAAGGAACACATCACAGACATAAGGAACACATCACAGACATAAGGAACACATCACAGACATAAGGAACACATCACAGACATAAGGAACACATCACAGACATAAGGAACACATCACAGACATAAGGAACACATCACAGACATAAGGAACACATCACAGACATAAGGAACACATCACAGACATAAGGAACACATCACAGACATAAGGAACACATCACAGACATAAGGAACACATCACAGACATAAGGAACACATCACAGACATAAGGAACACATCACAGACATAAGGAACACATCACAGACATAAGGAACACATCACAGACATAAGGAACACATCACAGACATAAGGAACACATCACAGACATAAGGAACACATCACAGACATAAGGAACACATCACAGACATAAGGAACACATCACAGACATAAGGAACACATCACAGACATAAGGAACATATCACAGACATAAGGAACACATCACAGACATTAGGAACATATCACAGACATAAGGAACATATCACAGACATAAGGAACATATCACAGACATAAGGAACATATCACAGACATAAGGAACATATCACAGACATAAGGAACATATCACAGACATAAGGAACATATCATATTCATTTGAAACATTTCACGGTCATTAGGAACATGTCACCGTCATTAGGAACATGTCACCGTCATTAAGAACATGTTACCGTCATTAAGAACATGTCACCGTCATTAGGAACATGTCACCGTCATTAAGAACATGTCACCGTCATTAGGAACATGTCACCGTCATTAAGAACATGTCACCGTCATTAGGAACATGCCACCGTCATTAGGAACATGTCACCGTCATTAGGAACATGTCACCGTCATTAGGAACATGTCACCATCATTAGGAACATGTCACCGTCATTAAGAACATGTCACCATCATTAAGAACATGTCACCGTCATTAGAAACATGTCACCGTCATTAGGAACATGTCACCGTCATTAGGAACATGTCACCGTCATTAGGAACATGTCACCGTCATTAAGAACATGTCACCGTCATTAGGAACATGTCACCGTCATTAGGAACATGTCACCGTCATTAAGAACATGTCACCGTCATTAGGAACATGTCACCGTCATTAAGAACATGTCACCGTCATTAGGAACATGTCACCGTCATTAAGAACATGTCACCGTCATTAAGAACATGTCACCGTCATTAAGAACATGTCACCGTCATTAAGAACATGTCACCGTCATTAGGAACATGTCACCGTCATTAAGAACATGTCACCGTCATTAAGAACATGTCACCGTCATTAAGAACATGTCACCGTCATTAAGAACATGTCACCGTCATTAGGAACATGTCACCGTCATTAAGAACATGTCACCGTCATTAAGAACATGTCACCGTCATTAGGAACATGTCACCGTCATTAGGAACATGTCACCGTCATTAGGAACATGTCATAGTCATTAGGAATATATCATAGGGCAAGGAGAATATCACTGTCGTTAGAAACATATCACAGTCATTTGTAACTTATTTCATTGACAACACTATGTTCATTAGGAACATCAAAAGACATGTAAAATATCACAGTCATAGGAACATATTAAAGTCATTAGGAAGATATCACTGTCATTACGAACACATCACAGTCCTTTGGAACATATCACATTCATTGGGAACATATCAAAACTATTAGAAATATATCACAGTCATTAGGAACATGCCACTACCATTTTGTTACACATCACAGTCCTTTGATTATATTGGGCCATGGGAGATGTGTTGTCAATGCCTTCTTAAGGCAGCATATAACAAGTTGGATCCTTCTCTGCCTGCACCCATCTTGTTATTTTGCAGTTGAAAAAGTGCCTTTTATTTGGCAGAGTGCTGCCAATCACATGAACTTTTTTTTAAAATCGATCGTTATGATTTTTAATACGCTAAGAATCCTTTGAAAATGTTTTTGATCAAAACTTATTGTTTAGCCACAAAAAATATTCTTTATTTAAAATTCAAGCCTAAACCAATCCAAGTAAGTTGATTAAATGCTTCCTACCTGAGCTCTTTGCCAACGGCAACAACTGCATTAACGTCATCAAGAGACATTGGATCTGAGGATGTATGTGTCAAGTACAAGAGTCAGATATTGTTTGCAGGCACATGATATATAACACAAATACAAGAGTCATACATTGTTCGTAGTCCAAAAACCTATTACACAAATACAAGAGTCATACATTGTTCGTAGTCCAAAAACCTATTACACAAATACAAGAGTCATATATTTTGTGTAGGAAGCAAATGCAAGTGTCATATATTTTTTGAAGGCCAATGACTTATAACACAACTACAAGTCTCATATTATATTGTTTGTAGGCCAATGACTTATAACACGAAGTGAACTGCTGGGGTGATGCTGTCTACCATTTTTTCGAGCTAGCTATTACCTCCTAGATGTACATAGGCCTGTGTTGTTTATATGTGCAAGGGAAGAAAGACTTAGAATGGGTTTTCTCGTATGTAGTATTTGTGATGTTGCGTTTTGTATTTCAATGTGGTGTAATATAGATTTTTTTCATTTCTCCTTAAATGTGGTTGACTTTGTACCGCGCTCGAGCCTTTGGGGATGAAGCGTGATTTTCAAATAAACTTTATTATTATTATTATTAAATTATACAAGAGTGATATATTGTGTGTAGGCCAAAGACTTATAACACAAAATGATTGTTAACATACAATCATACTAAATATACTAAAAATACACAATCCAACTAATATACATCTTGTTAACATATGCTCAAACTAAATATAGATCCCATTCACAAACTCTCCTATAAATCAAGTTAACATACCATTACATTCAGTTTACATACCATTACATTCAGTTTACATACCGTTCCATTCAGTTTACATACCATTACATTTAGTTTACATAACTTACATTAAGCTTACATATTGTTAAATCAATTTTAAATACGATAACATCAATTTTACATATCATTACTTTTATTTAACATACCATTATATTCAATTTACATATAATAATAATAATAATAAGAGGTCTTATATAGCGTGGTACGCCAGCCTCGGGCTGGGCCCACGCGCTGTACATAAAATTTTTATGAAAAGAGACATAATCATGACATTAAAATAAAATGCATTTATATCATTACATTTCTTCTTCTTCTATATCTTAGGGGGCCCACGAACAATTTATTGATCATTTTGGCTCCTATGCATGTAGATGGGATTTGCAATGTTTCTGTTACTGGTGCTGATGAGGAAATCATGCACTAAGGGGTTTGAAGGCTGGAGGCAATAGACACAAATGTGTCTAGTTTTGTCGCCTCAACCGTTCCTTTTGAAAGATTGTTCCAGTCCCTGATTGTCTTGGGCAGGAATGAGCAGCTCCTATACTGGCTTCTTGCTGGTATGAGCCTGAATTGCCTGTCATGGCCTCGTCGCTGTCTATGTGGGAGAGGGACGAGTTTCTGTTTAATACATTTAGCTTACATACCATTACATTACGTTCACATACCGTTACATTCAGTTTAAATACATTTACATTCAGCTAACATACCATTACATTTAGTTTACATACCATTACTTTCAGTTTATATACCATTCATTTCAATTTACATACCAGTACTTTCACTTTTCATACCATTAATTTAAGTTTACATAATATTACATTCAGTTTACATGCAATTACATTCAGTTTACCTACCATTACATTCAGTTTATATACCATTAATTTCAGTTTACATACCGTTACATTCAATTTAAATACCATTATATTCAGTTTACATACCTTTTTTTCAGTTTTCATACCATTACTTTCAGTTTGCATACCATTCCTTTAAATTTACATACAATTACTTTCAGTTTACATACCATTACTTCCCGTTGTACATATTATTACATTCAGTTTACATACCATTACATTTTGTTTACATACCGTTACATCCATAGAGAAGATTAATTTATAATTTATAGCCAACAAGACCAATATAATATATCAATTGTCCACGTCCAAAGCGACGAGAGAGTCTACGAATGTCTGTCAGTTATATCTGTCCGACAAGGTTTTCTTTATGTTAGTGATGCCGTTATGTTAGTGATGCCGTTATGTTAGTGATGCCGTTATGTTAGTGATGCCGTTATGTTAGTGATGCCGTTATGTTAGTGATGCCGTTATGTTAGTGATATCTGAATTTTGTGGTGTTTCCCAGTTTGTGATTTGATTTTTTTTTTTTTAATGAATTTTCTGCTCGCATTAGATTTTCTAATTGAATTGTCTAGTCGCTGTATAAACTAAGCTGAATAAGCCATGTTTATGAGCATTCAATAAATCCTCACTAAGGCTTAAAGAGCGAGGCAATAGTTCAGACCGACCACACAGGTTCCCCGTGCCTCAGTCGTTGTCAAACATTTAACAAAATGAACGATTTCAAGCCCGTAATCAAGGTTTATCTGGATAGTATCCCATATAAAACCAACAGCCTGTGACGAGCTAGTATCCCACATAAAACCAACAGCCTGTGACGAGCTAGTATCCCACATAAAACCAACAGCCTGTGACGAGCTAGTATCCCACACAAAACCAACAGCCTGTGACGAGCTAGTATCCCACATAAAACCAACAGCCTGTAACGAGCTAGAATTCCACATAAAACCAACAGCCTGTGACGAGCTAGTATCCCACATAAAACCAACAGCCTGTGACGAGCTAGTCGAAGTTGAGATTTTAAATTAGAAAAAGAACAAGCAACAAAAACAACAACGGAGGAGCGTCGATTTGATGAACGCCTATTGACTGAATCTCGGGTCTCTATCTGATCTTGTAGTCTAATCCTCTAAACACCTGTTGTAGACAAACACTGACTCGACTTAGCTAAAGCGATGTTCGACCTTGTTTAAAGTATGCACTATTGTCCCAAGCAAAGGTTGTTCCTGAAAATAAGCCCATTCCTCAGAGTTTGGTGCTAATTTTAAAACAAATATATTTTTAAAAACGTGCAATATCCAGATTGTAGCCCACAACCCTAATTTAAAGCCTTACATTATAGGGAATAAAGTGATGCTGATGTTCGAGACGGTAAGGTGTCCCGCAGATAGAATATCGTGCGATACGATTAAAGCAACGTACAAAACATCAGCATGCGGTGTACATGTATTTTAGGTCCTGACTGTGTCAACACAACATTTCCTTGGAAGTGTTTGCTTCTCTATAACAGACCGGTTCCAATCACGACTCTACAGTCCATACCAGTTATATACGGTGACGGATTTGTTTCGTTTCAGACTAAGTTTCTACAATTGAACTTTTTATTATTCAAATACATCCCCAGACGAAGCCACGTCCTCTCTTTTTTTCCCGGAGTTTGAGGCCAGCATCTGATTGTGTGATTGTTTGATTGTTTGATTGTTTGATTGTTTGATTGTTTGATTGTTTGATTGTTTGATTGTTTGAGGCCAGCATCTGATTGTTTGATTGTTTGAGGCCAGCATCTGATTGTTTGATTGTTTGAGGCCAGCATCTGATTGTTTGATTGTTCGATTGTTTGAGGCCAGCATCTGATTGTTTGATTGTTTGAGGCCAGCATCTGATTGTTTGATTGTTTGAGGCCAGCATCTGATTGTTTGATTGTTTGAGGCCAGCATCTGATTATTTGATTGTTTGAGGCCAGCATCTGATTATTTGATTGTTTGAGGCCAGCATCTGATTGTTTGAATGTTTGAGGCCAGCATCTGATTGTTTGATTGTTTGAGGCCAGCATCTGATTGTTTGATTGTTTGAGGCCAGCATCTGATTATTTGATTGTTTGAGGCCAGCATCTGATTATTTGATTGTTTGAGGCCAGCATCTGATTGTTTGAATGTTTGAGGCCAGCATCTGATTGTTTGATTGTTTAATTGTTTGAGGCCAGCATCTGATTGTTTGATTGTTTGATTGTTTGAGGCCAGCATCTGATTGTTTGATTGTTTGATTGTTAGAGGCCAGCATCTGATTGTTTTATTGTTTGATGGTTTGGGGTCAGCATCTGATTGTTTGATTGTTTGGGGCCAGCATCTGATTTGTTGATTGTTTGAGGCCAGCATCTGATTGTTTGATTGTTTGATTGTTTGAGGCCAGCATCTGATTGTTTGATTGTTTGAAGCCAGCATCTGATTGTTTGATTGTTTGAGGCCAGCATCTGATTGGTTGATTGTTTGAGGCCAGCATCTGATTGTTTGATTGTTTGAGGCCAGCATCTGATTGTTTGATTTTTTGATGCCAGCATCTGATTGTTTGATTGTTTGAGGTTAGAATCTGATTGTTTGATTGTTTTAGGCCAGCATCTGATTGTGTGATTGTTTTAGGCCAGCATCTGATTGTTTGAGGCCAGCATCTGATTGTGTGATTGTTTGAGGCCAGCATCTGATTGTTTGATTGTTTGAGGCCAGAATCTGATTGTTTGATTGTTTGAGGCCAGCATCTGATTGTTTGATTGTTTGAGGCCAGCATCTGATTGTTTGATTGTTTGAGGCCAGCATCTGATTGTTTGAGGACAGCATCTGATTGTTTGATTGTTTGAGGCCAGCATCTGATTGTTTGATTGTTTGAGGCCAGCATCTGATTGTTTGATTGTTTGAGGCCAGCATCTGATTGTTTGATTGTTTGAGGCCAGCATCTGATTGTTTGATTGTTTGAGGCCAGCATCTGATTGTTTGATTGTTTGAGGCCAGCATCTGATTGTTTGATTGTTTGAGGCCAGCATCTGATTGTTTGATTGTTTGAGGCCAGCATCTGATTGTTTGATTGTTTGAGGCCAGCATCTGATTGTTTGATTGTTTGAGGCCAGCATCTGATTGTTTGATTGTTTGAGGCCAGCATCTGATTGTTTGATTGTTTGAGGCCAGCATCTGATTGTTTGATTGTTTGAGGCCAGCATCTGATTGTTTGATTGTTTGAGGCCAGCATCTGATTGTTTGATTGTTTGAGGCCAGCATCTGATTGTTTGATTGTTTGAGGCCAGCATCTGATTGTTTGATTGTTTGAGGCCAGCATCTGATTGTTTGATTGTTTGAGGCCAGCATCTGATTGTTTGATTGTTTGAGGCCAGCATCTG